TGCTCTCTCTCTTCCTTCTCTTCTTCTTCTTCTTCTCCATCATTTCTTGCTTCTACTTTTTCATTTATGTCTTCCACTTTTCACACGACTCATTCACTTCGCTGATTTCGACGTTTCGTACGGCTAACGGAAACTTTTTTACAGTCGAGTGTTACAGTAAAAATTAAATTTTTAAAATTGAAAAATTTCCAAGTCGCGAAGTTCCATTTCGGAAAATAAAATCCAAGAATTTTAGAGCGATCCTGTTAATAACGTCGATTTTTGCACCGCGTGACAAACTGTAGCGACATCACCGATCGACGAGAATTTTCGTAAGCGAAATCTCCGATAAGGGTGGATCTCCTAATTTATTTTAGAAAGACGCGATCGAACGTTGCTTCTGGTCGATTCGAAAGTTGTTCAACGATAATTAGAACGCGAGGAGATACGCACGGTTTGAATATTTGACCGGGTAGAAAGCAGCCACGTGTATACACGTTTTCCTCAATAATTAATCCGCTAAATGATTAATCAGCATCCAACCGACCAAACTGTCTGTGACTTAACCCCGTCCGATTCCATCATGAATAATGCATCGCGTTGATGTAACTTTGGAGTTTACTTCGATCGCGACAGTCGATAGTGGCCTAGAAAACAACCTTATCTTCCTGAGAGATTTGCACGAAGAAACTTGAACCCTCTACTCGTTTACTTTAATCCACTGTACTTGATTACCACCAGATTTCATTAGATATTATAGTACTCTTGCAAGATCATATCCACGTTGAGACAGGAAACCTGCGACCTGACGTTAAACATAATTTATGAAAAAGTATTTTAAGAAATCTCCGATCTTTTTTACTGACATCAAAGTTTTTAGGGATTCGTGCTATCTACTCGCCGAGAATGTTCTTCTTGCGAAATACGCGAACATAACGGAATCGCGGTTGTCCTAAGAATTTGATAAATTTATTATAGAATACCTACATCTATTTTAATTACGAACATATTGCGGTTCGAACGTTACCGTTAGTGTCAAAATCTTTGACCATAATTGAAAGTGGTTTAAACGATACTAAAGAGAACGCGTAAAGAGAAACCATTTGACACGGGCCATCGTGTTCTGTCCGAAGAGCCTGCAACCGTATTTTAAGCCAAGGGAGAGTAATTTCCGGGAGGAACAAGGGCTGCGTTTACACGTAAAAATGAGTGTTTGGCGAACCTTTCAACCACTATCTCCACTTGTTCCAACAAAATTTCGCTAAAGACAACTCCTTGTCCTGTTAACATCGAATTATTTGCGCGTAATAAAAGTAATATCGAAACTTGGTTTATTCAAATAGAAATCCAAAAAAATATCACTTTTATTTTTATTTCGATAATATCGGCAATTGTTCTTTCGACACTGTACTCTTTGCCAAGCTAGTCACGCTGTACCCATTATTTCGTGTTTTGTTTCTTTATGTGCTTTCGATCATTGTTAATGTTGAAAGGCGCAAGAAAACGAAATCGCGCACAAAAATAATCCGTATTAAATTATACGCAAACGAGTGGATGGTTATTTAATTTTTGTTGTCTTTCACCCTAGACACGAACCAGGAACAGTCACCCTGGTACCGACGAGAACAGGCCAAGCCACCCTCTGCACCGCGTATACTAAACCGAACGAACTAAAGTCTCCCCTGCTCTAACTCTCTCTCTTACCTTCAGCGATGGCTTTGATCCTTTTTTTTATCGTTCATTTCCACAAGTATATACATATGTACATGTAAATGCATGAAGCATCGCAGATTTCGCTTTTACATTATCGAACACCAATTTCCTTAGTAATTTATTATTAATGTTGTTTGAAGTCGCGTGATGGAATCGACGTTCAGCTTTCGTTATATTAAGATACGGTTACGAAAACACGGGGCGAGTTAGAATCATTGATAAAGACTTAATTAGCTAATGGAACTCTCGGAAGGAAAGGAAAATATCTATCGAGCAAAAGGAGATCCACAAAGTAATCTTTTTCGCGATATCTAATGTAAACCAAGCAAACGCAATTATGATGTTTTCGAGTATTTAGAACGCGAACGATTTACAAGCGGTCGTATAACGTGTTTGTTTAAAGCAGACATTGGACGGGTCTCCTGATAGGACGCGTTGACAGGTCAATGGCTATTCTAATATTGTTCGACGATCACCTTCAACTAATTCATGATCGAATCATACTACTGCTGTACATGTAAACGGATTCCATTCAATCGCGACTCTTGTTGTTGTTGACTCTTTAAATAGTTAAAATATTTACACTTTATCGTAAACAAAATAGTACACAGAATTTTGTGAACGCGCCTTCGATAATCTTATCCTTATCCATTGTTGACATTCTGACTAAAAGAAATAAAAGAAAGTTCTAACTAGTACTGGTAAATCGAAATAACTGATAAGAGCGTTAGATTAATCCTGCACGTTCAGAAAAATACGTTACAGGAAGACTGTTGGAAAACATAGGTGGTACTGGTGAAAAAGCGGGGTCGTATAGACTCGAAAAAAAATTACAGCGTCAAGTAACGAGTACACGATGCTGTCGTGCGTCGTGCTACGTACGACTATTTCTACTGCGGTTAGGACCGCGAACGAGTCGGCTACTAAGCGGGTCACTCGAGATTGTCCTCTGAAATTTTGTATAATCGAATAATTAGTAGCCATGCAATTTGTAGTATAAGGAAATTTACGCTCTCGTTCAACTTGCAAATAACATTTTCTTTAAAAATTGCAATAATTCATTACGTATATAAAAATTACAGTCTTCTCGCGATATTGTTTTTCTTGTATCTGATGGAAATTTTTGTACGCGTTTCTCGATAAGAAGTTTTATTAACATTGTACGAAAACGATCGGTAACTGGTACATCTACATTTGTTAAATCGAAGGAGAAAAAGCAGAAAGCCTTGTTCGAAAGGGTGCGATCTCGCGCGATCACAAAGCCGTCGCTACTCACCACCGATTCACCTATCCGTTAGGTAGGGGTTGTCGAAGGAAGGGGTGGTGGCGGGTGTGGAGCAATGCGTGCGCATCCTACCCCCTCTGTAAGCGGCCGTGTAACACGTAATCGAACTGGGAGCGCCGCGGTTCGTCGTCAGCTCCGTCATCCGCGAACGACAGGGCTAACACTCGTTGACGTAAAAAAAAAACGTTTAAGCGCGAGGAGAAACGAACGAGCCGATCGAGAAGCAGTATACGAACCGAGATAGCCATAAATCTGTCGAGTAGCCTGTAGACAAACGCAGAGCCGAAGAAACGTCGTTCTAGTTACCGGATATAGTGACATATCGGTGGTGGTAGTGGCGTTGCTGGTGGTGGCGGTGGTGGTGGTGGTGCACGAGTGCGCGTAGGGTGGAGGTACCGTGTAAGGGCAGTTGGGTAGCTTCCGAAAGCTGAAAGCGGTGAAAACTCGAGCGAAAGCGACGCGAAAAAATATCGAGAAAGAAAGCGAAAGGAGGAACTGGTCGAGTAACCGGTGCGCGTCGCATCGGAGATCGTAATACGAGCAGAAACGGTGTTCTCGAGAGGTGTCGGAGTCAGGTCGTACTAGGATACTAGGGTGGCGAACTTGCTCGCGTTTGACGGATCCGAGCGGATCGTCCGAAGAGCGCGATTCTCCGCGAGGTTCGAGTCGCAATGGCGTCGAGCGCGACTCCGTCGAGGAGTAGCTCGACGAACGAGAGGTTCACCGGTGGTCGAGCGACCGGGTGCAGGTTCACGTGAGCCCACCCCATGCTACTGGATCCGTCGATTCGCGATCGAACCGATTCCGTCTCCTCTCGAACGCGATCCTCGCTGTTCCTGCTGATCCGGTGAACCGCGAAATCGGCACTCGCGAGCACCATGAGAAGGCTCCGCGAGAGGCAGCCGCCAAAGCCGAAGATCAAGGACCGGTCGCGCGAGTGACAGTGTGCCAGTGCGTGCGCGAAACTTACCGGCTGATTCCTCGAGCCCGTCGGATACTCTGTCTGTCGCCCCTTTCTACATCCGTCCTCGTCATCCTACTCGTCGTCCTCCGGTTTGTCGTCCTGCTC